TGAATGGTCATGCTTGGATACTGTATATTTATTGATCATCTGGCATATATAAGAGACAATATTTCTTTTCAGCTGATAGAATAATTTCTTCGGAGCTAAAATGTTAATGTGATTTTCTTAATGAAGTCAACATTAAGCCTTAACAACCAAAATATTTAAACTTTTATTTCTGAGTATCCTTTGCTGGAGTGACGATACTTCACGCATCTTGTAACCATTTTCCAAGCGTGGCTTAAATGTTGCACAAGGTAATTTTTGTTCTTACAAACTTATACCTTCATCTCCATCTTTATCTCTTTTATAAACATTTTCCTTTCTGCTTCTCATCTTTGTTTTTCTTTACTTTTCGGCAATATTCCTTATTTATATTCTTTAATTTTTTTTTTTTACTTCTTAAAAACCATTCTTCATTGCTTTTCCAGCATTAATTCTTCAAATATAACGATAAGCTACATCCGGCAGCAAGACCTATAGTCGGGAGATTGGAGCTTTTAAAGAATGTGGAACCATCTCTTAATAGTAAATGCTCCCAAGTCCTGTGGTAGCACCTGTTAGGGTTCAAACTATTAACAAATAATGACCCCCCCCCCAAAAAAAAGAACATGAGACTATAAACCACACTTTATATTAAAAAAATACTAGCGATTCATTTTTATATAAAAAATACAAGCAATACATATTTTCGTAAAATGACCAAAAATACATTTTTAAAGCTAAATAGTACTCAACATATTTTATCATCAATTGCTTTTGTTTCTAGCTTCACCCTGACCCGGGTGGTAGCAACTCTTGGGCTCCCAATTATGTGAAAATAGTGCAACCCTAAACAAAACAATACGAAAGTATAAAAATTCCAGCAATGCATTTTTTGTATAAGGTAATTGCGGCTTGTTAACCATTACACCGCCTCGAGATGCCCAATTTCACGCATCTTGTATGTTATAAAACAGACTAAGCAAAAACAAAAATATTTTGAATGAAAATTTAAATTTTTCTATTGATTAAAATTTAAACGACACTTTGGATAAAATAAGTATTTTCTGGATTTGTATCTTTTCCGCTTTTGTCATTTACATATTTTTTCCTAAAACACTTCAGTAAAACAGTTTTTAATGAAAAATAAAATTTTTGTGAAAATTTAAACGAAAAATTTCTATTTTTTTAAGGTTTGTATTTTACAAAAATTTCTATTGAAGGATTACTGCAAATTTATCGGCCCGACACATTTCCCAAAATCTTCGCAAATACTTTACACAAGAGTTTCAGACCGAGACATTTTGCAGCACCCTCCTCTCTGTGTGTGTGTGTGTGTGTGTGTAAAATAGATAAGTAAAACTGTTGTTGGAACCAAATTCATGTAACTCAAGGTGTCGTTATGTACAACGCTAAAATTGGGTTTTAGGTGATATACATGTGTATAGATATGCATTTTATATATATATATATATATATATATATATATATATATAATAGAAATCTTATAAGTATAAGAAACTATACTCGCTCGGAAAACCTTCAGTATGTTGATTTGCAAATAAAACAAGCCAATACAAAAGGGAAAAAGGATATAAAAAAAAAGTAAGAACCAAGAACATCTACGTTAACCGAAAAATAATCGTCCAGCATATACGAGTCCAAGGCCCAAAGAAAAAAAAAAACCCGATGCGAGTATCCAAAACAACTAAATAAAGTGGCAGCCTTCCCTGACGATCCGCTTAGGTAAAACCTTGGTAGGTTTGTCTGGCTCTCTAGGTTTAACTAATATATATATATATATATATATATATATATATATATAGGAGTTGCCATGCTTCTCAATATTCCAATAGCTGCATAACCTGATTTATGAAATTTTGCCTCATCCTCCATATTCACCTGATATCTCTTTATCACTTATTTAAGCATTTTGAGCTTTTCATACGCAATAAAACATTCTCCAATAAGGAAGAAGTAATTGAAGCATTTGAACCATTCATGACATCAAAGGATGAAAAACCTTTTTAAAGATGAAATCAAGAATTTAGAGAACAGCCATTCATCAAAATGGTGCCTATTTCGACTAAATGAATGTCACATTTCAAGAGTTTTATTCATTTCCTATCAGGTGCGTGGTTTCATACACATACACACACACACACATATATATATATATATATATATATATATATATATATATATATATATATATATATATACGTGTGTGCGTTTCATTAAAAGCGACAAGGTACTGAGATTAGGCTTTTTAATTAACTTTTGTTATGTTCGAATGAGCGTTTTCTTTTCTGGACACTGTGTAGAAACTGTCCAAATGCTCTGTAATTCCGAGCGCTCTCGGCTATACATTTATATATATTATATGAAGGATGATTTTATTTTTGCTTTTTAACTGCGTGTATGGGTTGTGTGTATGTTTCTAGAGTTATAGGGATGTTTTATTTTCCGAATACAGCACATTCTGGCCGTGTTTGTAACTAATATTATTGTCTGCTGGCTTTTTTTCTTTTTTAATATTAAGGCTTAAGGTTATTATGTTTTCTACTAGTATGTTTCGGAGGGAGTCTGGTAACTTTGTGTGTGTTTAAATGGGTCCTAATGGAGCTGTTAGACCTCTCCGACCACAGCTCAAAACAGCCAACACTCAACAATCCTCATGAAAACAAATCAATTTCTAAACAAGCAACGGATGTTTTATTTATTAACCTCACAGATTTTATGAATTTAAACTTTATTTTTATGGTTACCCATATTTAAATTGACGGTCGTTTTTTCTCTGGTTTTACGTTTATTTTATCTTAAAGATAAATATTTAGATATGAAATTAAATTAAATTTCCCCTTTTACAATGTTTGAATAACAAAAACGATCTTTGTAAGGCAGATGGCGCTTCCTATCACCTCGCAAAACTGACTTGAAAATAGCACGTCTAATAAAATTGCAAGCTGCTCTCGCAGACAGTTCTATTTTCATACATATATATTCTCGTACTTATCTGGGATTTTGTGGATTAGGAAATAATTAACATATACATAATCTTCTCCAAAATATAATTTGTTTTATTTTGAATATTGTCTATCCAGAAAACCAACCGACAAATTAATATTAACTCCACCAAAACAATTTGCACAATTGTGTATTATTTTTATTATTATTGGATAAAGAATTTCCTGTTTTTTTTTCTTTGTTGTTGCCTTTGTTTTAATCTGTTCATATTATCGTGGAAATATGCAAGGTAGCTATCGATCTTTCTTGTGTAGTCTGCCTTCAGAACGTAGAACATTATGCCCTCCACATCTTCCTGTCTTTTGTGGCTCTAAGCATCGTTTAAGACTTTGGCACTCCACTTTGTCCCCCTTCTGCGACCCATTCCCCCAAACTCATAAGGTAGGTTATTGGCCGTGTCTATCTGTCCATTTTACCATTAATATATCTTATGAGTGTTTAATTCCCCAAACAATCTTTCCTCATTATGTGATTCAGAATTTTCACCTCTTTCTGATCTTAAACATCAGTTTTCTTTCTAGTTTTTTTTTTTTTTTTTTTTATAATCAATTATTTACTATATAAGTAATCGAAAAGCGTACCGGAAACAGCCAATTTGTGAAATGATTTCTCTACTGATATAATGAATTACTGATTTCGATTCTAGATTGCAGAGTTAATTGCGCAGTAATTTGTGCATCTTTTTTATTGTGTTTTTCCTTCTGAAATATCTATTGTATAATCTTCATTGCATTTTGAACAATGAAACGTGCCCTTTTCATTAATGTATAAATATGTTCTTGCTAAGATTCAACTCGAAAAGTTTCATAATAAACCCACATGAACGAAATTGAAATTCAAAAGAAACATGATTATTTAAATGAAATTTTTCATAGTACGAAATTCTTATAACAGCTTTGTAGCTTTGTCTGTTTAAGTGTTTAAGCTATGTGCAAAATCGCAAACTCTTTTGAGTGGCATCATCATTGAACGTTAAGCCCGTCATGTGCATGAGATTAAAATAAATTTCTGGCCTGGTTTTTTCTTTATTTTAACATCATTTCTGCATAGAAAATGTTTCTAAAATTAAATACTTTGATCATTTTTTCATGATGCATCGTAAAACTATACTCATATATATATATATATAGAGAGAGAGAGAGAGAGAGGATGTCTGTCTGATATCTTTTCACTCGAGATCCATCCAACCATTTTGACCAACGTTGGCACGTACATTGTAAGAGATAGCTTCTTAGCGTAAAAATTCGATAAAGCCGGTCAAAAATTGATAAATTCAATTTTTTCCCCGATTTTATTAAAACTCGGTATGTAGGTTACTTACATCACGACGGGCTCAACGATATCTCATTTTTATTACTACGCCACTGCGTTTAGCGAAAAAAAGCAAATCGATTTCAACACATATTTTAAACAATTAATTCCCTCGGTTATCAAGCAATCTAATATAAACTTCACTCAATTGTAGCCAATTCAAAAACCTTAAAAATAATTGTGGTCTGAAGTGTGTTTTCATGTTGCCATTTTTACCCCTTCACGTCCTCGGCTAACTCCGATTGAATAAATACAGACTACTTCTATTATATCAGTAACTGCATTAATTCAAAATGATTTTAATGAAAGTACTTTAAAGTAATTGAAGATAGCCTCTCTTACATCTAAATATGATGCTGTTTTTGCTCCATTCTAATTGAACGCTTTTTTCTGATCGACCAGTTGGATATGGCTGCTAGTACAATATATTTTAAGTAATTAGTTCGATCCTTACCCTGAGGATAGAAATAATAATCGACATTAAATACTGCAATGTCTTATAATCAAGTAACGTACACTTAGCTAATATTTGTTCACCACTTTTTGTTTGTCGCAAGACAACCTTTGAGCCAACTACAAAAATGTCTTTTTCTAGCAAATAAACAATAAATGTCACTTTAATATTAAAGATAATCTACGGAATTTCTGTTTCCTAAATTTAAACTATATTTATCATCTATTTTATTCAGTCCTCGATATGTGACTGCCTACAACGTGCAGAGTTACTACCAAGGCATCCAGATGGTCCATACCAACGGATTTGTATCGACGGAAGGATGTAAAACCCAGCAAGAGCCAGACCAACATGGACTTGTTGAGATCAAACGAAAATTAAATAAGGTCGGTATTAAATTATTTTATAAATCGTCATTTCATATCAAAGAATTTGATTTCTTCTTTGCTGATCGCTGCTTTTATAATGGTGACATTGATGACTAAGAAGACCAATTCTTGCATAAAAGAGCCGATGGAATTGACTTCATGGTAATATTAGTGAAAGATGAGATCGATTTCGTCGAGCATTTCTTTCTCATCTTTTGACTTCTTCATTTTCTCTTCTGAAGGTTTGAATTAATTCTCCTAGACGGGTTACCACCCAGTCTGTCCTAATATTTTATCCATACCTGGGGGGGGGGAAGAAAGAATACTCTTTCCCCAGAGTATTAGAACATACGTGAATGTAATGAACTTGAATGGAATTCGATTTCGAATTTATAATTCCTTAATCCAAGCCCCGCTAACCACCGTGCCACACACACACACTATATATATATATATATATATATATATGCAAATTTCATTAAATATGACCGACAAGGTGCTTTGTTTAAGTTTTTTTATGTAATTTCTTATGTGAGCTTAATTTTTCTTTTCAGTAGATAAATTATATAAAAACTGTCCAAATGTTTTTTTGTTTTTTTTTAGTTTTTTAGTTTTTTGGGGGTTTTTTTTCGAGCGTTTTCGGCTATACATTTAGCCATCTTCAAGGATGAAATATATTTACTGTTAACTAGAAATAGATCGTTGTATGTATTTATATACATTTTCAAAACACGGTCAAGATATAAAAATCAGTTTCTAGTTAAGAGTTGATATATTTAACCTTGAAAATGGCTAAATGTATAGCCGAGATCGCTCGGTAAAATATTTGGACAGGTTTTATATAATGTATCTACTGAAAAATAAAATTATCAGATCACATGAGAAATTATATTAAAAAAAACTTAATAAGAACACCTTGTATGTCATATTTAATGACACTTGCAAGAAAGAAGGATTGCTGCCTAAATACACCATATATATATATATATATATATATATATATATATATATATATATAAGATTTATTTGTTTAAACGTTATTTTTACTCGATACTCGTATATGACTAGATCCTGTTTTTATTATTAGATAATATACTTAAAATCTAGCGAAGTGAATATTCGAGAAATCTTGTTAGAAGCAGATATACCCTTCGAAATAAATGTACTGTTTAATAATAAAAACAGAGCATCTAGTCAAATTAATTAAAAATACGTCGGATTAAATCCATTTCCTAAAAAATTGTCTTTGTTTACGTTAGGATACGAAACAGTAGATATATATGTTTCGAGAATCGGGAAAGATCTGTGTTCAGTCGCATTATCCGGGCTTTGTTTGATCAGCTGATCCTACTTTAATCTGCAAATAATTTAAAGGCAATGTCAATCGCTACCTACTGTCATACTGAGTAATCTTTTTTTCTACGCTCATATTTCTATTTACATATGCTCTATCCCTGATATTGAGCAAAATATAGAATATTTTCTAAGTATTTTTATCATATACAATAGTCCCTCGATTAGTGCAGCTAATGTGTACATTAAAAGATACGCACTAATTGAAAGCGGATTAATCGAATATAATAACTTACAGAGATTTATGTACAGTAACTCATAATTTTAGTTCTATTCACACTTAATTTCTAATTTGCGAGCTTTTTAATTAAGATATAGGTACATACAAGAAAATACAATAAAAATGCTATAAATTGAATGGTTTGTCGTATGGTATACTTCTGTTGTTCTTAATGGATAATTACCCCTCAAATTTTCCAAACATATAATAATTAGTATTTTAACGTAAAAATCTTATTATATTTCTATAGTAAATGCATGCATGTTTTACATGTCGATATTTTTTATTAAAACTAAATTTCTGTATCTAATTAAATCGTTCATTTTTTTTTTTTTTTTTTTTTACAAAAAATCAGAAATTTCCTTTTAAAACCTTCAAAATGAACATAAAAACAAATTAAATTATTCAAAGAATTTTAAGAGACAAATATTAAAATATGTATTTATTATCCGCTTATATTATAACATCTATTTATATATCCGTTCATTTTTTAACACTATTGTAATTACGTAGATAGAGCAATATTTAACAAATAAAATAATGCGTTATCCGGAATGTTCATGTCGATTTTTAAAAGGAATTAAAAATTACAAAACAAAAAATTATTTTGTTGCAAAAACTTTCCCTTTTTTTCCTTCAACACTTGAATTGTTTTAATTCGTCCATTTGCGAATATTTTCAGAATCATTTTGTCATAGTACATGATTCAAAAATACTTTTCTTAAGATAAAGACCTTTTTTTGACTCCTTCAACTTAGATTCTTGAATTTTTTCTCACCGCACAATTTAAAATTCGTCCATTTTTATGAGCAGTACTTTTCAGAAAAATGCGATCCAAAGATTCTTTTCATGAACTTGACTGGTTACTTCATCCATAGTGGAGACGCTCATAGTTATTCATGATTTGGTCGTCATCTTTCCAGTTCCATCAATAAGACTATAATCAGATACACACAGTTCTGTCAGCAAAACATCTTCGACCTTCTTAAGATAAAAAAAACCCATATTTCAACTGGTTACGGCGCCAACGGTGACGTCGCTCCTGGTCGCTCCTCCTGGGTCCAGCGTGCGGGTCAGATAACCAGCCTTTTCCTGACTCATGCCTGGTCACCTCAGGATCTCCGGTCTGTCTACCCACGCTGGAAAATTTAGACAGACAAACGGGATCCATTTTTCATCACCAAATAAAGTAAACTCACGAGACAAAAAGATTGCTGATGAAAAAAAATGGGTAATAACTTTTTATATCTTAATGTCCGTTACAAAAAAAACAAAATTGTTCTCATTTCCAACCCGGTGGACTATTTCATGCCACAACCCTAAAGATTTCAACACAGATGAAATGCGATCCAAAAGATTGATTCTTTTCTTCGATTTTGTATTTCTTCTTCTTCGATCATGTGATACCTTGCCAAACATCGTCGTCCGAGTGATTTGAGTCCGGGGCTGGAACTCTTCTGTCTTCGACCAAGTTTCTTGTCATCCATAGTGGATTTCCCTGATAAATTTTCTGTCGAGTGTTTTTTGCCCGCAACAAACTGGGGTTCTGTCGGCGTTGTTTTCTCAATAACTCCAAAAGTCGCATTATTTTTGATTTCCCATTATCGCTATTGTTTTCATTCTCACCAAATCCATCTTGATTTGGTCGTGACCGTTTTCGACCAATGGTTCCTGATAATATAGATCCTGACCGTTTCCGACCAATTGTTCTTCATTACAAAAAAAATTTTGCAAAATCCAATTTTGCCTTTTCACTCTGCAAGGCCTCTCACCTGGGCTCTGACTTTTCTCCTCCTTTCATGTATAATCACCAACTAAAAAACTTAGTGAACCATTGTGATCTGACAGTTCTGTTTTTTGTCAGACCCGGCAGTAAAAATCTTAATTTATCATCTTCACTCGTCAATGTGGGGGTTCTAATTTTTAACAGCATATAACTTTTTTTCTCTGATTAAAAAAAAAAATTTCGTTTCTATTGTTCTAAAAAGAAAAGTAGGCTAGATGCTGTCATCAAGCTTTTTTCTCCCTCTTAATATTTTTCATTTCAAATAACAATTTCCCAAAAATTCAGCCACGCAGGCCAAGATATCTTTCTGACACTTATCTTCGCTTATGACTGGGTCATGCATCATCCAACTCTCTCTTTCTTTTTTTATTTCTAATTCTATTCTTCCAATTGTCTTTAAAAATTCGGTCAACATATATAAGATATCTAAATTGACTGGGTCATGCATCATCAACTCTCTTTCTTTCTTTTTTCTTCCCTTAGGATCGTCCAAGTCAATCTTAGTTTATTTTCAACTCAATTATTTTCCGTTAAAAAAAAAAAAAAAAAAATGTTTAATAAACCGAATGAATATTTCAAAATTGACACCATTTTCATAGAATTAAGTAATTTTAAACTTTTAATATATATATATATATATATATATATATATATATATATATATATATATATATATATATATATATATATATATATATATATATATATATATATATATATATATATATATATATATATATTATATATATATATATATATATATATATATATATATATATATATATATATATATATATATTTTATATATATATATATATATACACACAAATGTTTGTTTTTGTTTTTTAGTCGTTAATTTATTTACAACAAAAATCCATTTACCTTGTGTTCCAATTTTCCCTCCTCATTCGCTAGTTGCAAATATGTCGTTGAATATTTTGTTCTACGGGCAAACCATACAGTGGAGTAATGGATAGCGACTCGAATTGAGGAATTGGAGAGCCGAGTTCGAATTCCAGTCGAATCCATTACATTCAATTATGTGCTAATACCCTTTGGAAAAAGTATGAACCATCTTCTTCTCACTCCAGCTGTAGGTAAATAGCAGGACAGACCGAGTTACATAGCTCTTAGATAGTAACTGGTCTGCCGCAGAAAAAAATAGCAACCTACTGCGGGGAAAAATCTGCCTCGTCAGTCATGTATCGAAAGGTACATGATCAACTACGCGTGCATCACGCATGGCACACAATTGATTTTCTCCTTTTAAAAAAAGTGTTGGCTGAAAGTGTCTCCCAAAGCTAAAATGACGTCCTCCCCGTTTAAGTATATCTTCCTCTTCTGTGGGTATAAGTCTTAAATGAATTATTAGTAGTAGCTAGATGTATAGTAATAGTACCCTTTATTTTAAAGGCAGTGGTATAGTATAATTTTACACTAAATGGTGTTTTTTAAATGACCTTAAGTCAAATTCCTATTTTATATGATTCAGTTGTGATGTATCGACAAATATCATTGGATGCGACTTAAGTCTGTGATCTACGTGCACGATTCTTTTTAAATAATGTAATATACCTCAGAGAAAATTATCTACGTAAGCAACTTTACCTAATTAGTACAGTGTAACCCGGATATAAGAGAGTTGTCGGGACCGGAGAAGAAGTCTCTTATATCCGGGTTTGGTCTATTATATATACATTAACACAGGCTCGAATTTGGGACCAGAGAAAATCTCTCTTATATAAGGGTTTCTCTTATATCCGGGTTACACTGTACCTAAGTATCAAAGCATTTACAACCTCATCTAGTTTTCATTTTCTGGAGAAATTATGCGATTCAAAAATGCAATAGGTTTTGGACAAGCTATTGCATTTCTGAATGACGTTCAAACTGTTTACAGACAGAAATAGTATTAGTTTAAATAATAATTTCTTTTTTAGATTTTTTTTTATCATATGGTATTATTTGTTTAGTATATTATAGCATATTAAATAAAGACGACATTTTTTTTCTTATTTCCATAGATCTATTTTTAATGTATATTTTAATGTAGAGAATTCTCTAAACTCATAGATCTCATACTTTACTAATGCGTTGTGCTGATAGATCACATACTTAGGTAGTGCCCATTAATGTTGAGGAATTACATATGCGTAAATACTTACCTGGTGTAGGGATCCGTCCCTGTGCTGTTGGTATCACGGCTACGACCAGCTTGGACCGGCTCTGACCAGCTAAGACCAGTTACGACTAGCTTAGAACAAGTCTGACCAGCTTAGATCGGCGACCCGAGTGAAAACACTTTTGTCCCCACGTTAAAAACTGACCTTGTGTCACAACCCGACTCAGTGGGGGGTCAAATAAGTATCCTTACCTGGCACATGTCAGGGGGTATCCCCCAGACGAGGCTCTGCCGAAGGGCAGTCTCTTGTCTTCGGAAACTGACTCAGTTTTTACGTGGTCTATTGAGAATTTTTGACAGAGTCTATGGGCTCTGATACCCCAGTTTAAAACTCGGCCTTGTGCAACATCTTGCTGCGTAGGGCAGCGGGTAAATAATTACATATGCGTAAGACACAGTGTTGACATAGGAATCAAAACTGTATGGTGACTGCCTGTTTCACGCCTCAAAGTAATACAACATGCAGTGTTAAATTTTCTGTTCACACTGTCATTTTAAAAAAAAAAGTTCAGTCTCCATATTGAGCACCTCTCCCTATAAATATAGTCAAATTTAAACAATTATATACTCTATAAATTCTGCTTAAGTAAATAAGTAACGCATTATTGCAGGTGACGTAATGTTAACCTGTACAGAAAAACGGGATAGATGTACCTAAACTTTGGCTAAGTTTGCTTTTAAACTATTGTGCTTCGGAAAGGCATGAAGTCACTTCTTGCTGAGATGACTTTCTGTCTTCATACATAGAAACGCTTTTTCTCTTTTTTCCTGCAAGATTGGTCTTTCTCTCTCTCTCCCCCTCATATATATATATATATATATATATATATATATACAGTGATTTTTCAAGCTTAGCTTAGATGTGAAATGAGGCTGAAATATGGGGCACCAAGTGAGGATCGAATTCACTATTCAGTCGTAATTGTTCTAGCGAGACAAGCTTGCTAGCCATTATACCGTCTCGATATATATATATATATATATATATATATATATATATATATATATATGTCTTCGCTTTATCTAACTTCCTGTAGGAATTACTTATCCTCAGACTGGCCAGATGTAACGACGAAAATAGCCATCAGTCTTAACATTCCAGATACAAAAGCAAGGGAAATCAATTCAAACCACTTGTAACATGAATAAAAGATAGAGCTTTTTTTTCAATGAACCATTGCTGCTTTACTTCCAGAATATTTTAAACAAATTCGCCTCTAATGTCGTTACTTGCATTCCCAATCCAATTTCGCATTTTTACGTGAAGCAGCCATTTTATCAAAAGCGTAAGTGAAATAGCATTAAACAAAACACTAACAACATGTGGTTAATGGAAGTGAAGCCAAATTCACGATGGAAACACTTGGGGCCTGCAAAAACAAATCACTGTTTGTAAATGTTTATTAATGAAGTTCGAATATAGACTCCTGTTTGTAGTTTCGCTCTTAAATAAAAAAATTGTATGTTTGTTTATACTTAGCGATGAATAATCAGTAAAATTCTTTCATTCGCGGAAGAAAATACTGCGCAAAATGTTTGCAAATACCTAATTGTTCGCCATCTGACAATGGGCGTTTCCTTTTCGAAATATTTGTTTAATCTAATTTGAAGCGTCAGCCTGCTGTCTCTTTTCTGAAGCCATGAATAATTTCGCTTATAGAAAAAATTTTGTATTATGCCGTGCATGCAAGAAAGAATGTCTGTTTTTAATCATCTTTGTGGCTTTCTTTCACTAAATGTACGATTGGATCAATAATTCCGTGGTTTGACGATTAATTATTAAGTGCTTTTTGATCTGAGATTTTTAATTTAGAATATGCGTGTCATATGGTAAATATGTTAAATCAATTAGATATTCCGTATGTTTCACAAATATGCAAGTACTTTCGATACGTCATCCGATCATCATCGGGTAGGGATATTATTTTTTTTTATTTCTATCGAAAGTATGCGCATATTTATGAAACATACGAAATATCTAAAAACAAGGATCGCATCACGCAACAAGTGGTTAGTGGGTTAATACTTTTAAATTTATTCGCGAACTGAATTCGCCATTTATTACATTAACCTTACGCATTTATTCCTTGTATGACTGCTTCATTGTGATATTAATTATACTACACCAATTATATATATATATATACTATGAATTGGAATCAAATATGATTAAAATCCCACAGAATGTGAGAATAAGGACCAAATAGGAAACCTATATAAATTTAATATTTCCAGCTTTTGTTTAAACTTCATCAGAATTTTTAGGAAAAAGAATTTTTGAAGCTTAAATAGAAACGAAACGTATTAAATTTATAGACCTTTCTTATATGGTTACTTTTTCTACCATATATAAGATGTGTGTGGTCATTATGAAAAATTTTAAAATATTCGGAATCCGGACCAAAGAAAATATTACTTGGACGACTTGGTCATTTGTGCATTCACTAACCATGTTATGTTCATTTCGGAATACCATTGGCAAGAAGAATAATGATGCAATCGAGTAGAAATAATGTTAAAATTAAACCTTTAACAAGAAACTGGAATTTTTTTTTTCGAGCTGCCAACTGTGAATTCGTTTTTAATTTCTTTCCACTTTTCGTATTTTCAGTTGAAAATAACACTGAACCATATAAAGGGTAGTTTATCCTCCCTAGCCGAACTGGAAGTTTACGTCTCTGAAGATCCTGATGACTCTGTTCAAACCGACTATTGTAATGCTGTCGGTTCTGCTGTAATACTGCAACAGGAAGACCCAAGATCAAAGCACGAATTCGATGAGGTAGGATATGATTTCGTCTTATTTATTAAGCATTTTTCAGACAAAACTAGTCAAACGTAGTCAATTTTTACGTGCTTTTTTCTGAACGACATTTCAATTTTTCCTAAAACCTTTCGATAAAGAACCTATAATTTTGGGGTGTCATTTTTGCTACCTTTAAATATTCTATAAGATTTGTCAAAGATTATAAATATATTAATGCGCAGAAAGGAGTGTCAAACTCATTTACTTTTAGTAAATACCGACTAGCTGGTATCTGTTACTCAGATCTTGGCTGTTGAGTAGCCCGGACGATGCTATGCCGAAGTGCAGAGTTTCGTCCGGGGATGTAGACAGACCCGAACCCGTTTATGCGTGGTTAAGAAGAATTTTTGGCCGATCCTACGGGCTCGGATTACTCCATATTAAATTCGGCCTTGTGCTACATCCTATCTCGTGGGGAGGCTGGTAAATATTGGCTAGCTGGGATCTGTTGTGTACGACTCAGACTTATGCGAGAACTACCGACTTTTCAACAGTAGCACTCACTACTGGATTGATTTGGACGATCTTGTGCATAACCGTATCTTTATTCTTATTGTACTGGTTTTTACAATAGTCCTTTACTTATTTTATCCACCGTGTTTTTCAAGTATATATTCCTATTAGCACGGAATATAACAGTAACACAACGAAAAATCCTATTACTTATTTACCAGACAACTGCCAGGGCTACAAATATAGTTTTAAGTTATGCTATATTTATGGGTAAGATTGCTCAATATCAGGAATAGAACGTATGTAAATATAATTGTGTTCACCCAGCAGTTACAGTTTCTTAGGGGATTGAAACCAGTCTTCAGGCACGAAACAGTGTCAGCGATCTGTAATGACCTTTGTGTCCACTTATAACTCTACGTGTCTCTTCTTTCCTCCCCCTCCCCTTAATTAGCACCTACGTTACCGCTGCCAAAACCATATAAATAATGGACTATTCCGTTTTGTTTACGTGGAAACACGGAAAAGAAATAAGAGACACCGTTTGATTTCAGTGAAAGAAACCAACGCCCTGCCAAATAATGGACTGTTCCGTTTTGACCATTGAAAAAACGGAAAGGCCATGTCAGATGTCTGATTACAGTGGGGAAAAAGAAAACAAAATTGAAACAAGAAAATCGTGTAATTCTCACGGGTACTACTATCTGCAACCCCATTCTCACAGACAAGATGTCACAAACCTCACGCTGTTCTATCGCTATATCCACGAAGACAGTTCAAATGAACTACAGTCCAAACCCTCACGACTAAGACCCACCATGCCACAAATTGTAGTGAACCACCCTCTTTCACCTCATATCCCCCCTGGTGAGATGGAAGTTCTACTCAAGCAGCTTCATCACACCAAACGCTGCTTTGTGGAACCGACTCCCAAAAGTCTGCCTCTCCGATCACTATCTTGTTCAATTTTAGGGTTAACCGTTATCTTCTGTCCATATCCGCATAAACTCTACCTATTAATCTGTAAACCTCTACACCGAGTGACCGACAGGATGAACATCATCGTAAAAAATAATAATGTCACATTTTGGTAGCAATAAAATACATGTTTTTAAATTAGGATTGTTTATAGTCCATCCTTTATTTTTTTTTTGTTTTTCAGACCTAAATCTATTTCACACTTAATAGATTAAATGTTTTTCATATGAACTGGGCAAACAAAAAAAACTCACTCGCTTTATTACAATATTCGCTTTATCTCTGAGGAATGACTGTACATGTTTATATCTGTGCATGTGTTAAAGACTAGTTGCAAAGAACCTTTTAAACAATTCTAGAATTAATAATAAATCTAATTAAGATACATCAATGAATGAAAAATTCTTCGGTAGCCAAAAATGTCACTCAAACGTAAGATGTATTTTTTTTTCTTTTAATATTCTAAAAATGCTGTCGTTTCAAAAAGAATGAAGAATTTCTTTTTTTCTTTCTCCAGCTTCATATAATCGGAGGTGGCTCTCTGGAAATATCGGGAACAAATGCCGGAATCACTGCACAGAAAATCATAGGTGATGGTAGTGGACGTTTGAGTGTCAAATCGCGACAATTCTTCCAGATAAAAGCTCAAAGGGAACGAATGCAGTTCGCACTTCTGGCTCAACCTCTAACAGATCTAACTCTTCCAGATGTTCTGGAATGCCGCAAAGTTGATGTCATCTTGAAAGGTGAGACCTGAAGATTCTAAAACACCCACTCGTTCAAATATTAACCAGAATATTGCTTGTTTAATGTTGGTTGTTGACCGTGAATAGCTATGTTTATAATAGTCCAACATTATAGTTACTAATAACCTCTATGTATTAACACTTTCATTGCTGCATTTTATAGCATTTTTTTTCCTGCCTGTGTTGACCTGTTTTGGAAAAAGTACGGAATTGTCTTTTTCTTGAAGTAAATAACTATAAAGATACTGCGATTATCTATGGATGCCGCCATTTGGCTTTTGATTGGATAATCTGCCATATAGACTAATCTAAATGACATCCCTAACAAACATATAATAAAAATACGTTACCAAATAGGTTGTATTGGACGCTGTTGAATACTTACACTGTTGTTGAAATAGCAATAAGCGCTTTTTTATAACACAAACATTAGAGAGAGACATGTTGCGGTGTCTTGTAAACGTATCTATACGTCGACAGCAAGCAATTTGGTTTCGCAAAGACGTACAAATACGTTATCAGTAGCTTAATATTAAGATGTTTTTAGTTTTCTTTTTTTTTTTATACTTTCAGTTTTAAACAGTCTGATGTATAATTTTCTTCGCTGTTGCAAACCTAAAGAAATTATGCATTTTTTTTGTTTTTGACATCAAGTTAACATCTACTTAAGCCTACAGAAGGACATATACGACAAAAAGATTGCCTACAATACAACAATTTTTACTTTAGCCAACCTACAGTTTTTTTTTCTTTGCCTATTTTCTTTTCTGTCTGTATAGATGTGGTTATTTACGGGTTTTAATGAAAAAAAATTCCCATGATGCTTTAGGTCTATTCATGTGTTATATAAAGCTCACCCCTCCCTTTCATTTTCGTTCAAGTCATCTGAAGATCGCGTAAACGTGAAACTGGTTCCGACTAGGAACATTCTTTCATAAGATTTAATGTCGTTAAGCGTTTTTTAGATCAGTTTCGGCTTCGAGCACTTTGCTGAGTAGGTAACTTTGCCTTGGTCCTATTTTCTCTTTCTTTTTTCAGTATTGTCGTTTTTATTCGAAACCTTATCTGGATACAAGTCAGCTGAAATGTGGCACAATTAGTGTTTACTGCTTTGCCTGCACCTACTGATTAATGCCGACATTTTGTTTAACACTGATATCGCTGCTCAAACTTAATATAGAAAACTTTTTCTTACAGGCAAGGCCAACACACATTATATATATATATATATATATATATATATATATATTTTTTTTTTTTACACGCTCAGCTTTGCCTAAAAATTTCCAAAGTTTGGGTAACTTTTACTAGTCCCTCAAGAACACGAATCTTTTTTCGATTCTCCAAACAATCATATCTGCTCAGTTTCATATCCTAATGTTAACAAAATAATTCGAAAAGTTGCAATGGATTTTTCACTTGTTAATTCGCTTTTATTTCTGAAACGACTGTTTCGAGAATCGGAGAAAGGTTTGCGTTTATAAGACATTGTTCAACTTTGCTTCATCGGCGACGCATTCACGTAGCTGAGTCGGTATAAGCACGTCGGTTTCTCCTGCTATGTGGGACGCCGGTTCGAATCCTGCTGGAGAATGCGTATTTTCTTTAATAAGATTTCTCAAATATTCAGGCCGGCAGACGAAAATAAATATACTGTATCCACTAAACCAAAAACGCCTAAGCAATATATATATATATATATATATATATATATATATATATATAGTTTATGAAAAACTAGGTAATCCGTATGATAAAATCCAGAGAGCTCAATGTAAATTCAGAGCAACACTTTCAAAGTAAAGCAAAATAACAGCGTCCGTTTTTTGCCTGTTTTCTCCAAAGAAAATTAGTGACATCTTCTTCTGTCTTAACTTCGTTCCCTCTTTTACTCTCTATGGTTTTTTCTTCTCTACCCCTTCGATATCAATATATAACTTCCGTTAAGTTAACCGTTTAAATGTTTTATCTGCTAACTCACTCATGTCTTCTCTGTCCCCCCTCACTTCGTTAATTTACATATGTTTAATATGGCTCGCCAAAAATGTGTAAATTTTCTTTTCATTTTTTTGTTTAGAAGTAAAGTCTGATGATCCGCAGTCCTTTTAAAATGGCTGTGGTGAAATAATTTATTACATGGAACCTTAAAGTGGTCTGTTTTTATTTAATATATAATATATATATAATATATATATATATATATAATAACCCGGGTAGCCGTGCGCCATAAATCCAGATGCAGTGTATAGATTGGTTCAACAGGTAGATATCTTAACACTAACAGATATTCACTTAGTTATTAATGTATCCATGAAAGTCATAATTGTGAAATCGTTAGCTGTTTTATTTGCTTTTATATATAGGCAACGTTTTTCACAGAACATAACTAAACAATTTCGTCTGAAGCCTTTCAAATTTGATAGGCATTCTCGCTGGACAGAAAGAAAACTTTTAACGTAAAATGATGTAAAGTTATGAAATCGTTAGGTGTAAGTCTTGTCTAGTTTTCTAAGTAAAGTAAAGGAAAACTCCCCACTTTGCTGGTTTTCACGTTGAGAACGCTTTCCCCACCTCGCAACCGAGAAAAAGCTGGTGTTATATACCTCCGACCCATGTTAACTATTGGCTAATGCTTGTGCATTATCGTCCGTATGCAAATTATGTCAGCACAACCTACTCTTATTAGAATGTCCTCTCTCAACAGTCAACTGTGGGATAGGGTGTAACTCCTGGTGCTTACTACACCACACGCAGCCAACCCTGGGTCCATTGTCGGGTTGACCAGATTCTCTGTTACACGCTAGCTGTTTCATTATTTGCTTTTATATACAAAGTTTTTCTCTGTACATAACTAAACAGTTTCGATTGGAGCTCTCAAAATTGGTAAGCATACTCTTTGGAAACAAAAATTATTGGTTCATCGATCGGGAAGAAGGACTTTCTTTTAAGGGGGAAATAAAAATATATTACAACCATTCGATGCAATAATATCATACTTCTTTTTACTAATACCCGGATAAGAAAAATATTTATGTAAACTGAAATACGAATTTCGAAAAACAATATTTCGAAAAAAATGTTTTCCTATTTTTCATTGCAAACGAATTAGACACAAATAGAACCTATTTTCCTTTTTTTTTTCTTTTCGCCAACAATTTTCTGTTTATTTTGTTATTGCAAAGTAAAAAAAAAAAGCTCGTCGGTATATATTATTGATGTCGCTAAAAATAAATCCTGGCGCACGTAAATAATGTCGACAATAAATTACAATAAAAGGAATAAAAAATACAATATGTACATAAGCATTTCATAATACAGTGTGACCCGGATATAAGAGATTTTCTCTGGTCCCAAATTAGAGCCTGTGTTACATAAACAAAATAGACCAAACCCGGATATAAGAGAAACCCGGATATAAGAGACTTCTTCTCCAGTTCCGACAACTCTCTTATATCCGGGTTACGCTGTATATTTGTTTCCCATTGGTATTTGTAGTTTCGCTGAACAAATTCCCGGTCTAAAAAAATGACACTATACTTAAATCTTTTATGCTTAACATTGTATTTAATTTCGATATTGTGTGCGTGGGCCCAACACACCTGGTCAGAACGTGAGCCTTACATTCTCTTCAGCAATGTTTCAGAGACTGCCCAACTCATCTCTGGACTCTTATTCATGTCGTTCCTATGCTTGTAAAACTAGTTGGTGCGAGGCGGCCGATAGTAACCGTAACTCAAGTTTACGCTTGGCTTTCTTAGTCTGGTGTGAAATTCAACCCAAAGACTCTTCCGGTATAATACAACACAAAAAGCCTTTCCAAAATATCCAGGTTTTAGAAAAGGATTACAACACCTTTTGTATTAGGTACCGTCAATCCATAAACGTTTTAGTCCATCTTTTATTTCTGTTCTATCTGTTTTGCCCACCACAATTTTTGTCGCTTAAGAACTCTAGCTATATTCTTAAATAACCTCATTTGATTCACACTCACATATGGTTGTGATGCTTAGAAATGTCTAAACTATTTACGTACAACCATTTTTCTCATATCAATATTTAAAAATGGTATCAACCGAATGAATCCTCTAGGTCTTAAGACAATCCTTCAGCGGATTCGGTGCTACCGAATCAAAAAGAAAACAATTTTACCAAATAGCCAAAAAGACGTCATATTAAAACTTCCGACAGCAGTAACAACTAAAATGGATAGCACAGGTAGCTAGAATATAATGAAGATGTTGACTTTCTACACTATTTTTAAACGAAAGGTCTGAAAGTAAACTTCCATCAGGTGTCTAAAGAAATCTATTTGCCGGAAAATAACTTTTTTTAATAGAAAGATTTTATAAAACTCAATGAAAAAGTAACGCTGTTCAGTAAATAAATGTTTCCAGTAAGGAAATTATTCATCTCACCCCCCCACCACCACCATCATTAATCATTTGTCTGGTCTATAAGGAAGCACAGTGGAGTAATGGATAGCGGCTTGAATTGAGGAATCGTAGAGCAGAGTTCGAATTCCAGTCAAATCTATTACATTCCTCTTACTTGGGAAAGGTATGAATCCTTTTCTTTACCCCCCCAGCTATGGATAGAGAGGACAGACTGGGTTCTATAGCCTTGGATGGCAACTGGTCTACCGCGGAAAGAAATGGCAACCAACTGCGGTAAAAAAAAAAAAAATCTGCCTCGTCAGTCATGTATCGAAAGATACATGATCGCCTAAGCGTGTATCACGCGTGGCACATAACTGACTAATATTGACCGTTTTCTGTCTCTTAGAATTATCCATGACATAGATCATTCCATTGAGATTCCTACTTCTATAACTTTTTCAGTGTCCTTGTTAGTTTTCATGGGTTTTTACACGTACATAGTAGCAATCAATATATCGCCATTATACACGTGGTACTTTATATATCTTGGTAATGCAACGAACAAAATATTTGTATGAAGTCTGATAAATGATGTACACCGAAGTAATGCCTGGGAATGACCAAAACGCTGTGAT